GTCGGGAGCTGACCAATTTTGTGAAATTCGGCTCGAAAGGAGTAACAGCACAATGAAGTTGCGATTGTAAGTTGCAGTCTGTAAGACGCGCACGGAAGCGTGACTTGACGCGCGACATTGCAGAAAGTGTGCGTTCACAAATGTAGCCTATGTTGATCCAAATATGGAAAGCACTTTCGAATTTAATAATCTGAGGTTCTCTCCAGAGATGTTTTGCCACATTTCTGCAATTAAGGATGATTGCTGCATAGTATGGGTGTTTCCTTTTGCCTGAACTAGAGCCCTGCATTTCACTTTTTTTCCGCCCCTCGGGCCGGGCTTCGGGACAATTTTCACGTCATAGTTCAGACGCGGGCCGGGCATCTGGCTTGCTTTAGGCTTCTCCTATTTTTATAATTAGACATCCATCAATTAGTGATGGATAAAAAGAGCGGCTCGACGGTGTTTCTCGGGCCGGTAATTCTGATAAATTCGGATACGGCCGGTCTAGGGCCTGAACGTCATATATTTGAGGCTCGTGCAGGGCTCTAGCCTGAACATCTTCAAGTGAGTGGCGGGGCAAACCGAAAGTTGATGCCGAAAGTCCAGCACTCTCCTACCTTAACTGCTGCGACTACACTTGTTTTGTATGCGTTCCTTCGCTGGCATTTTCCACATTTAGTTTTTCTCCCTTAATAACAAATGTGTCCATTCTGATGCTCAATTTGACCGAACTAATGGCTGCTGATGACTATTTGAATTGAATTCTTCCAAAGTGCGCGCTTGTAAGTGTTCGTTAATTAGGCTACGTGCAGTAGCCTACAGGTCTGCTCATGTCTGTAAATAATGTATGAAAAACAAAATTATTTTACATAACTAAAACATTATAGCTTATATTTGTTTAGTACATTTTTAAATTAATGTAAAAACTAAAATGAATTGTAAAACTGAAAGTTATTTTTTAAATTGTGTTCAGCATGGTGGGCCGCATTTGAATTCGTGACGGGCCGCGGGTTGAGAACCACTGGATTAACAGATAAAGGAGAGAGAGATAGGGAATGCTGTTGCAGTTGGGCATTAATGAGCCATTTGTGATGTTATCAGTGTTTTGTCTGCAGGGCTGTTCTCGGGCTCTTGATTGGGTCCCTATGGAGGAGACCTGCCCTAATTGGCTAACGTGTACAAACACACTGATGAGTGACGAGTGTGCGTGGGTGCACAAGAGGAAAATATCAATCAGATGCGAGGGGGCTTTTAGAGCAGTTGTGGCTCTAGATTTTAGTTTAACACAGGCCATTATATGTTTTATAGATAGTGTCACATAAAAGGGATTAGAAAAGTGAGGAAAACATGAATGTGTCTCACTGAGAATACGATGTAATAGCCCCCTCTTCTGGTGAAATTGGTTGTTGACAAAGTGTTAATGAACTTTTTTTTTTTATCAATTCCACATGCACATACTATGTACTTATTATAGTGATTACAATAACTGAGTAAAAACTAGGTGCTAACCCTGAACCTACCACTAAACCAAACCCACGTAGTTACAGGGATGGGCAGTATTTCAGATACATGTATTTAAAATACTTATTTGAAATGCAAAATACTTTTTTTAAATACTTTGAATACAATTTACATATAATTTATATATCATTTATAAATGTAATTTATATATCTGAGATTTAATTATATATATATATATATATATATGCACATTTTTTTTATTTAATGCAATTTAATAGTTATATTTTTATCAGTGAAAATGTAAATAGAAATGTTCATTTTTATTTATTTATTATTCAATTTTACATCATAATTGATTTTTTTAATTGATTTTTTTATTTACCATGTATTTCCAGGTTTAAATTTGATTGTGTATATGTGTGTTATGAGTTGGTTAATGATAGTATTAGGATATAAACTATATATGCATATATTATGAAATCATAAAAACTGCATATATAATAATTAGGTGCTGTAAAGGTGCATTCATTTATGTCAGCTGCTCATATAGAAGCCAGAGGAAGTGCTTATTACGATTACTGCTCTGCTGCTTATCACAAAATATTTCTAATTTGAAAGGAAATTATATCTGCTTAATCAGCATATCCATAAACAGATCTGACTGCTGTCCTCTGAGTGAATCTCAGGTCTTAAATGGGCCATTGTTTTCAGCTTTTGCGAGCACATCTGTGCAAGTGTTTTAGAAGACAAAACATTGGAAGAAATGAATAATGTCTGTTATTCCAGGGATCATATCCTCATCATCTGTTCTTTGTCTTTTTTCTTTTCCTCACCCATCTCGTCCCACCTGCTCTCCTTCTTCAGTGCGGCTTCTTCGATCGGGCGCGGCCACCCAAAGACGATGACGTGTCAGACCGCGAGCAGCTGACCGCAGAAAAATCCACAGACGCGTGAGAGCAGAACAGATGACAATTATGAATAAAGAGGTCATGGGATGAATCACCATGAAGAGAGTGGAGGGGCTGTGTCCGAAGGTTTCGGTATCTTTGTAGACGACTACAGATCCAAGCCTGTAAATAAACTACAGCTCTCACACTGGACTGCAATCTGTGAGCTGGGCCACAGTACCACTCAAAAACATTTCTAAAGCTTTATTTAAAATGCCGGAAGAGCAAGAACTCTGGACGTTGCACTCTGATAGAGCTGCAATATCCACAGGATCCAAAGTACAAGACTACAGGCTGATCAATACAATCCCAAAGATTTAGATCTCACTCTGATCAACTCCATCGACTTACATTGAAGCACAGTGATCATTTTTGACAATATATTGTTTAAAACTACCAATGGAACTTAAGATCATATCTTCTCATCACCAGCTCAGCACAAGATCTGGATCATCCCACCATATGCTTCACATTGGCCACATACACACTGCAGCTAAATATGGATTCACTCCCCTTTTAAGACATTTCTGATATTTATTTCATTTCATATTTAAATATCAAACACCAAACAGGTTAAACTGTTCCATATTTCATGTTTACAGCCGAGGGATTACTACTTTATTATTATGATTATTACTGTGGCAGTTTCAGGAGTGACTCCTGTTTTATGTACACACACAGAACAATAATTTAGGAGATTCACACCTACACTTGTATATGGTTGTCACTCTCAAAACTTTGCAGTGTGTATTATATGGCCATTTTTAACAGTGTTTAAAAATAACACAGAAAGTCACATACTGTATGCAAATAATTGATGTTACCTTCAAGTATACTTTATGTATTATCAGAAAATTATTGATAATGATGGTGTTGTGGTAAATTCTGCGATCTGACTAGAATCTTTATTCTTACAAAGCTGGTCTGTTGCATCATCAGCCCACAATGTAGTTTCACAGCATTGTCTTATTTCACATGCCTTGTCAATGATTGTACTGATTACATATTGAAGCTTGTAAAAGAATAGCTCACTACGTACAAAGATGGGGATGGGGGGTTATGAGCAGATATAAATTATATGTGCAATAATGGGACATTTTTGAGTTGATCATTTGTGTGTACACTGGCTCCAAAATGTTTAAAACCTGAGGTTCAGGTTGTTTTGTATATAAAGTTAAAATACTTATTTGTCAGGCTTTGTCAGAGAATATTTCTTTTCCAAACTAAAGGGAACAACAATATTTTGTCTTTCAGCGCTCTAAATGCATCGATAAATCACCAATAATGTTAGATGACATGGGCACATTAATTTCATCTGTTGGGAATTCTTCTTTTTTTTTTTTTTTTTTTTT